ATTGTGATCTACCGAAGGCATGATGGCCATGTTCCATCCTCACCTCATGTTCTGCTCTGTCCTCTTGGTACCGCGTAAATGAAAAGAGTTGAGAACCGCGACAATCTGATATGTCGCGTAAGGCTGATCATAATGCCATGATGGACCGGTCTGATGCACCCGGCCAGATCCATTTATCCGGCAGTGACTGGGTTACTGTATGGAGAGCTTGCAGATTCGAATATGTCCTCCACTGACATCTGAGACACCGCAGCATCCAGATATCCCATCTGACAGTGCGTAATTTCTATAGATATCGCACACCATAGTAGGGCCGACATTGTCATGGTTCGACATGAAAAGCACAGAGCGGGCTGATTCCGCACTTTTGCTTACAGCGGAACGGATGGGACTATTAGCTTAGTATTGATTACAATTGCCTCGAGACAAAGTCGAAGACGCAATCTCTTCATGACAAATCTATGTTTAGTTAGTTATTCTCAAATATTCAGCCCTCTGACTTGCCAGCATCTCGTCCAGAGCTTTGTGTGCTATTGTATATATTGTCGTCCACGCAACCCTGGCTGACAGCATTCCCGTCCGCTTTATCCGATAGAGCTACGGTCACGGATATATGTCTTCATCTGCCGATACTCCCCCACCCAGCACAAGCGACCAACACAGCAGTAAGAAACTCGTGATTCTTTCAATTGTCTCTCTGTTCGTGGCGGTACTACTCGCTGCGTTCGGCTACGGGTTCAGCGCGGAAAATACCAATATCAATACCACCGCCAAGGTGTTCGGGTTTAGACGATTCTTCAGAACGCAGTCGGCGACTGCTGCTGCTGTGGTGAAGAAAGACATCTCGACAAGCTCTGCTATTCCGAAGTCAGACAACACGATGCGAACTCCGGTTTACTTCTTGAGTCATGGGGGTGTGAGTCTTCCTCCTTTGTTGCGCGGAGGTCGAGGAATGGTGCGATTGACTGGGTGCTACAGCCGAATATCATGTATGACCGAGACCACCCGGCATACCGTAAATTAGGTGAGATCGGGCGCGAGATCACCACCAAAGTCAAGCCGCGGGCTGTTGTGGTCTTCTCTGCGCATTGGCAGGCTGGTCGCAACACGATCCAGGTGAATACGGCTGAGATGACGGATCTTATATACGAGTACGTGAAATCGTGACAGCGTGCTTGGTTATGCTTGCTGAGTTGGCTGTGTAGTTTCTACGGCTTCCCGAGCCACTATTACAAGGAGAAATTTCCTAATGTCGGGAGCAAGGAAGTTGCGAACAAGGTGCTTGATGCGTTGACCGAGGCGGGCATCAAAGCAGAGGGAGTCAAGAGAGGTTTAGATCATGGTGTCTGGGCCAGCTTCAAGTGTGGTAAGTGGCTCGAGGTGTCCGTTGCGTGAATTGGTGGGGCGATAGTAATGCATGGAATGCAGCGTTTGACCCCGACTCCAACCCCTTGAACGTCCCGATCGTGCAGGTGTCATTGTTCAACACCGAGGATGCTGCTCAGCACTACCAACTCGGACAAGCGGTGTCCAAGCTCCGCGATGAGAATATCCTGATCATTGTATCGGGAATGGCAGTCCACAACCTGCGCGACCTGCAGCTCACTTGGGGCAACCCCAAGCCAATGCCGTACACTGCTAGCTTTGACGAGGCTCTGAAGGACGCTGTCACGAAGCCGCCTGCGGAAAGAGAGCAGGCCATGATAGACCTCCTGAAGCGACCCGATGCCCGTCAAGCACATCCATCCTTTGATCATCTGCTGCCCATTTATATCGGAGCTGGTGCTGCGGGAGACGATCTTGGAAAGAGACTCTGGACGCAGAAAGAGGGAAGTATGAGCTGGGCGCAGTATAGATTTGGTGACGTAGGCGATAATAGCGCGCTGTAGTAAGCATAAATGAAAATGGATAGAAATTCCCATCGCACTTGCGTCCTGAACGTGGTCGAAGCATTTTGGATTCATCTAAGATACAGTACTGGACAGCTGGAAGAAAACGGTGCATGAACATATAAGACGGCGTGACAATTGCACTACGAGGACTCCTTGACCAGCTGGGAGACTTTCTCTTCAATTTGCTGATCCGAAAGGCCTGAATGCATCCACAGATGTCAGTTGAAGCACTTGTACACTAGGTCATAACCGAGACGTACCGGACAGCGATTCCTGCTTCTCCTTTCCAAATCCTGTTCGTAATAGCTGTGTTAGCACCAATTGCTCTTCCATTGACTTCTTTCACTGTGACTATCTGCCGTACCGTATCGAGCATATACTCTGGGCAAAGTGCCTGCTGCCTCCCGGATCAGAATGGGAGTCTCGGGGTTGTGCTTCTTCATAGTGGGGTACGCGCGCTGCAGGAAGGACCTATGATTCGGGAAGTCATGAAGTCAGTAATCGCTTTCAGAATCAGCACCGCAATTGCCAGAGTTTTACCGTGTAGCAGCGCTCTGCTGCGAAGTCTGGCAGAAAAGGAAGCGGAGCTCCTTCAGTCCTTTAGAGAAGGCGTATTTGGACGACATTATGTAAGAAAGTGAACAAGAGACAAAGATGTATGCGGTCGAAAGGAACTATCCCCCCGTAAGCGAGAGCAATGGGTATCAATTGGGATATTGAGCGCGAGAGAACCGACGAGGGGTGCAGTTTGATGATGATTCCGTCGGAGTTCGCATATAGACCGATATGGTCAAGCGTATTGTCACTGCTTACCTCAGCCGGAGAACGAGCCGCATTCCCAACAGGGCCGCCGAGGTCGGGCAATACCCATATTGAGATATCTGATACTCATACCTTCTACGGGAACACCCTCGCGTGCTTCGTTGCTTATTCTTACTTAGCTATTTCCACTCATACTCTGTGGGGTTCTTGATAGTACTTTGCGCTTCAGTCTGTGCAAAGACCCCGTCACTCTCCACTCAATCCCGACTACCGGTCCTTCCTCGATCAGGACCCTTCAAACCTAGTCATCAATTCCGCCGTGACAACGCATAAAAATGTCTTCTTCGCGTATCGGTCTGCGCTTCTTCCAGAACACCCGGGCTGCTTTCCGTAATGCCTATGGTCCCTTCCGTCGGCCTGGTGCCCAGGGACGCCGTTTCCAGACCTCTGATGCCGGTGCGGCATCCGCCCAACAACAGAGCACATTCCAGCGTCTATGGAACAGCCCTGTCGGCATCAAGACCGTTCACTTCTGGTAAGTTCGGACATATGGTGGAGCAATCAATTGGTGATATTCGCTTTTTGTTGATCAACATGCTGACATTGGATGATTTGAATCGGGTAGGGCGCCTGTCATGAAGGTATAGATCCGTGACACTATCTCTTTCCACAGCCGTCATCACCACCCTTACTCCGCATTGAGATATCTAGTAGCTTGGAGATTGTCGAATACTGGGTTGAGAACGTATCGCTGACACTATTTTCGTCGAAAACAGTGGGCTTTGGTCATTGCGGGTATCTCCGATTTTGGTCGTCCCGCTGAGAAGCTCTCCCTTACTCAGAACGCTGCCCTGATGGCCACTGGTGCTATCTGGACTCGCTGGTGCTTTATCATCAAGCCCCGCAACATTCTGTATGTTTTGTTCATTGTTACAGATATCCCTGGACTTGAACGTACTAACTGTCAGTCAGGCTTGCTGCTGTTAACTTCTTCCTCGGATGTGTCGGTGTCGTCCAGGTTACCCGGATCTTCATGTACCGCCGCAGCTTGGAAGGAGGATCGACGAAGGAGGCCTTGAAGGATATTGAGCACGAGGTGGTTGACTCGGCGAAGGCCGCCGTTGGTAAGGCTGAGGCGGCTGTCAAGAAGTCTACGTAATGGACTTCCTGTTAAATTGGGGGATGCTCGCATGCAATCACAGACTACAAGGACGACTACGAGAGATATCCCTTTTTACTACAAGCAAAAGTCGCACACTACTGTATATACTCACCCTTGAATATGAGATGAATTGGTTAATAGAAGATGCGCCTTATCTTGCGCATTGAAGAATCACTTGTGTAGGTTTGATAGAACTAGGAGTCTTCGGTCATTGCATGCCATGCTTATACGTTTACCAAAAATGACAGTCATCGCTGTATTCAGGCCATGAATCTTCGATTTTGTTTGGAGTCAGGCTCAGAGCCTTATCAGCGGAAAATTTGGACTGAAAAGCTTGATGTCTGTGACATTGTGTTTCCGCCATTCACAGTCAGTCTAGATCGGCCTTGCCTGTATGATTTTGATCTTCTTCTAAGAGTTAGCTTGATTTCATGAAGCAAATTACCTGGTAAGAAGACGCAGACGGGTGGCGTTGTCGCAATTTTGTGTATCTTCCTATACAAATTTTGCTGAGCGCAGTTCTTCCAAGAAATAGCACGAGTGGCCAAGTGGCTAAGGCGTCGCACTTGTATCTACCCTATCGGGTTAAGATCGCTATGCGAAGATCGGGGGTTCAATTCCCCTCTTGTGCATTTCTTTTTCCAACTCAACCATCTTTTTTTGCGGATCTGCCTCTTCATCAATCTCAAATTATTTTTAATATGTTTTGGACTTTTGTCGTCTGAGTCTGTTGAGAAATCTCTTTAATTGTTTATTTCTTTTTCTTTCTGCGGTATTGGTTATAGTTGAGTCGGGGGATTTTATCTATATATTTGTTGAACTTCCGAACACTTATGCTGACCTTGGACTGTCATTGTCATTGGATCATGCAAACGGGCTTCACTGAATGACTGGCCTCTATGATGTTGCATCTCTTATTTGTTCGGATGATTAATCCTAGCAAAGCTGATTGGAAATCTAGCCACAGGCCGTGCATATTCGAATCTTGCTGATTGATGCAAAGCTATTAATACCTGGACAGTTTCGCTTGAGAGATAGCATCAACTGATCCACAAAGTGTCACAAAATGGATTTCGATAATCTCGCTGAAAAGAAACAGAAGGAGAAGGCCACAGCTTGGTTGAACCTCTTGACAAGCCGGAGCCCAGAGATCCTGTCTATTGCAGCTTGCTGAGAAGCACCGGCCTGGCGAAACAGAATCTGCATGCCTATGGAACAGTGGTGCTTTTTAATATATGCTACCGGGTCAGGTATAATGAGGGATCGGATGTCATTGTTCGTTTCGCTGCCCTTGGAAGGGCTATTCTACGCCGGGAGAAGGTCCAAAATGAAGTCGCAACGATGAAGTACATACGCCACGCCACTTCGATACCAGTTCCTGAAGTGCTCGGCTCGGGTGTCTGCTGGGCGGGTCCTTATATTGTGATGTCGTTTCTCGAAGGAGTGCCATTATCACATCTCCTCAAAGATCCCTCTATAGAAGGAAGACCGGTCCTGAACCCGCAAATAAGCGATCGGAGCTTGAAGCGGGCTTGTCCTCAAGTTATCCAAGCATGAATTTGATGCTACTGGGGCGCTTGCGAAGGATGAGAGGGGGTTTTCAATTGCAAGGCGACCTCTCACCTTCAACATGAAAGAGTTAATGGCGTCTGCAAATTTTGCCTGAAGAAGATTTCCCTTCGCACACCTTCAGAACAGTCACGGACTACTTTACAGCGCTTGCTACACAGCATCTCATCTATCTTCGATTACAGCACCGAGATGCTGTTGCAGCGAGGAGGATCGTCGGAGGAAATTCACTGCTGTTGATTATTTCTTGATACTACGAAAAAACTCTGCGCGGAGCGTCCTCAAGGGCCGTTTCGGCTATACTGTGACGACTTTCGTCCTTCAAATGTCCTTATAGATCTCGATGCCTCCCGTGTGTCGGGAGTCATTGACTGGGAGTTACATATGCTGCGCCCGCCGAGTTTACATATGTAGCTCCCTGGCGGCTCTTGCTGCAAAGCCCGGAGGATTGGGGGGAGATCTAAACGATTTTCTGATTCGTTACATTCCCAGACATCGTACTTTTTTGGAAGTCCTAAGTGACTATGAAGAAAAGTTGATCAAACAGGACCTCCTCTCCGAGTCACAGCGCCTCTCTCCACGGATGGAAAGCTCCATGGAGACTGGATTATTTTGAGTATGTTTAGCAGCAAGATACAGCTCCATGTTCGATGAAATCTGTTGGACGTACATCGACCACCGGTATTATGGAACATTTACTTCTCTTGGGGACCGTATACAGCTTTTGGACCTCGAACAGCAGCACGAGATGAACGAGCTCGTGAAGATCAAGATGGACCGATGCAATGAGGATAAGGAGAGCTTCGATGATCACTATCCAATTGATAAACTACTCGAATTATGATTGGTATTTGTATAGCAACTGAAAGATATCCAGATATGCTCAACAAACAGTTGAAGCTTATTGAAGTCTGAGTGGGAGCTTCTTCTGTTCAGCCAACTGGTTAATCGGTAACCAATGTGCAAGTGTATAGCAGCGGGCTTAGCCCTACCAAGAGACCTAGCATTGCTTGTTCTCTTAGCTATGGATCTAATAGGCTTGGTTTGACAGCCTGATGATGACGGCAACATGAAGGCCTTATGTACTTAGAAGGAAATCTTCCTGATGTTATCCGTGACTTCGAGCAACAATGGTCCTAGCACGTGTGAAAGAGTTGCAGGATAGGTGCTGGGCAGTTAATTCCGTTGCCCCTGGTGCCTACGCGTACTGCGAAAGGATTTAGCCTCAATCCTTTGAGCGCCATCACTAGAATTGAATTTTGTCAATTTAATTGCAGTGAGCACGAAGGCCAAATTGTCTGATCCTGTTTCCGACTGGCTTGACGAAATACGCTTGTCTATTTCTGAGATGATGTATTGCAGAGAGCATGGCGAATGAGAACATGGAACTAATCAGCTTGCTTACGTAGAGACAAGCTCGCAGTCAATTGCAATCCATCTCAACCATCAACCATCAACCATCAACTATCAACGAATAATATAGCCGGAGGTTCAGCGGACATTTGAGAGCTTCAAGTTACGAAGGACCACATAGTTTTTCCTTCCAATCGGAAGAATCTCTCTTCACCCCAAAGTTATCCCTCCTATCAGAACTTCTAGACGTGTGTTCTAACCAATGTTGAGTATTGATATGGAAAGCCAAGCGGGCTAAGATGATTAGTATTTTGCAATTCAACTATTTTCCTGGGGTTGTCGACCTGAGACTCCTGCAGAAGCATCATCTTTGAGCTTCCCCATCCCCACAATTGCTCCGCCGGGGTGCTCCCCGGGTAATGGCAATTTCCACACCCCCAACTCCACAAAATGTCAATACTAGTGCATGCTGGGGATATGCACTTTGGATTAATTTAGATTGAAGATGAATCCAACTTAAATATAAATGTCATCCCTGTGACCCGCAGTCTTCTCTCGTCCAGTGGTTCTTCTCAAGCAAGTGGCCACCTTTCTTGAGATTACATACTAGTCAATCGCCATGAAGTTCTCGTATAGCTTTGTCCAGGCCGTGAGCTTATTGCTCTCCCTGAGCCCTTCTGCTGAAGGCTTTACTCGCTCGAGGAACGATGCGTGCAAGCCCAATCACCCATTCCGGCCTCTACCTCCCAGTCAGCCGCGAACAAAGACATGCCATGTTGTTAGCAACGGCCATGGTAAGGACGACTCCAAGAACATCATGCAAGCATTGCATAAATGCAACAATGGCGGCAAGGTTGTCTTCGATGCCGGCAAGGTATACACCGTTGGTACTGCCTTGGACATGACGTTCCTTAAGCACATTGACCTGGGTAAGGATCCGTACTATCGTTTTCGAATTGACCATTGCTTATGTTGAATAAAACAGAGGTTCTGGGAAAGATTCAGTTCACCAATGACACCGACTACTGGCAAGCCCACTCCTTCAAGCACGGCTTCCAGAATGCCACGACCTTCTTCCAGCTGGGTGGTGAGGACGTGAACGTCTATGGTGGCGGTACCTTTGACGGCAACGGACAGGTCTGGTACGATCTCTATGCAAAGGATGCGCTCATCTTGCGTCCTATCCTGTTCGGAGTCATCGGCTTGAAGGGAGGAACAATCGGGCCTCTGAAGCTCCGCTACTCGCCTCAGTGGTACCAGCTTGTCGCCAACTCTTCAAATGTGATCTTCGACGGCATCGATATCTCCGGATACAGCAGCAGCAAGAACGAGGCTAAGAACACTGACGGATGGTGAGACTCAATTGCTCTGGACCCCTATCTCTATTCTGACCATCTCCACAGGGATACCTACCGCTCTGATAACATTGTCATTCAAAACTCCGTGATCAACAACGGCGATGGTATATCTGCTATACCCAGCTTCAAGAAAACAAACTGACACAGCATACAGACTGCGTGTCCTTCAAGCCCAACAGTACCAACATTCTCGTCCAGAACCTTCACTGCAATGGCTCTCACGGCATCTCCGTCGGCTCCCTTGGTCAGTACAAGGGCGAGGTTGACATTGTGCAGAATGTCCTCGTCTACAACATCTCCATGTACAATGCATCGGTAGGAATTATACACCACCTCTGAAATCCCTCAATAGCTGACGGTCTTTAGGATGGTGCTCGTATCAAGGTCTGGCCCGGCGTCTCATCCGCCATGTCTGAGGACCTGCAGGGCGGCGGTGGCCTGGGATCGGTGAAGAACATCACCTACAACCAGATGTACATTGAGAACGTCGACTGGGCTATCGAGGTGACCCAGTGCTACGGGCAGAAGAACCTGACTCTGTGCAACGAGTACCCTGTACGTTCCTTCTTTCTTCTTTATAATCGTGTTGAACTGACGAATCTACAGAGCAACCTCACAATCTCAGACGTCCACTTCAAGAACTTCCGAGGAACAACATCCGGCAAGCGCGACCCCGACGTCGGCACAATCGTTTGCTCCAGCCCGAATGTAAGTGCGCCACTATGTTCCGAAAGTATCTGGTCTAATGATTTCAGGTTTGCTCCGACATCCACGCCGAGAACATCAACGTCAAGAGTCCTAAGGGAACGGACGAATTTGTTTGCACCAATGTAAGTTTTGCACGTAGCCAGGGTACGGGACATGCTAACCGCGTTTACTAGGTTGACAAGAGCCTTCTGGACGTCAACTGCGCATAGACGCTCCGCTGGGACGGAATGTACTTATCTGCTTTAGACAGAGATAGTGTTGATAATAGGACTATTGTTATTACCAATCTACATGACGTAAAGAGGCTGCCTGTTCGTTTCGTTTGAAACATGACCCCATCATACAGATACCGAAAGCAAGAAGCTCAGTCAGCTATTAGCAATAAGCAATCGGGAAAACCCCATCCCCCGCAAGGTGGAGCACCAGTATATGCGGGGTACGGCACAATTCCGCTGTAGCCTGCAGCCTGTACAAACTACAATGACCTCGAAGAGAATTACAGAGCTTGTAAGGTGTACAGAGTATTGGCATAGTATATCAACCAGGCCGTAGAAAGAAGAAGTGCTTCGGAGGAAACAACACCTCAACCATGGCCTCGCAAAGAAACATAAGCATCATCGTAACCGGTCCGACTCCATCCAATCATACCCACAACCTCTAAGGATACAGATCTAACACTGTAGTCTAAATAGGCGGCGCCTCAGGCATCGGCCTAGGCATCACCCGCTACTTCGCCCCCAAAGCAAACACCCACATCACCATCCTCGACATATCCGACGGCACTGCCATCCTCAACCAGCTACGCGCCGAGTACCCCTCCGCCAGCCTATCCTTCTCGCAATGCGACGTCTCCTCGTGGGAAAGCCAAGCCGCCGCGTTCGAGAAGGTAGTCGCCAAACAAGGACACATCGATATCGTCTTCGCGAATGCCGGTATCACGCAGAAGGGAGACTTGCTGGCCGACATCCACGACGTCAAGCCTTCGAAACCGGAGCTGAGGACATTGGATGTAAATCTTGTGGGGGTGATATATAGTACTTCCGCCTCTCCCCTCCCCTGTTCACTTTTCAATAAGGACTAATGAGGTGTATAGCGGTTAAGCTAGCAACACACTACATGGTGAAAAACGCACCAAGAGAATCAGAGACAGGCCTCTCCAAGGGGAGTATCATCTGCACGGCGTCGAACGCAGGGATATACCCGTTTCCGATTGCGCCGCTGTACGCAGCCACGAAGAGCGGTGTAATTGGGTTGGTGCGCTCGCTTGCGCGGTCCCTGGAGCGGGAGCAAATCCAGATTAATGCGCTGGCGCCGGCTGTTATTGGTTAGTTTGCTTGATTTCTTGAGAGGTTCAGAAGGACTTAGTGAGGGGTGCGAGCCGAGCTGACTGAAGTAGAGACGAATATTGCACCGGATTCTGCGCTGTTCAGGTCTATGATTCTTACGCCCATGTCGACTGCTGCGAGGGGGGTTGAGCAGCTTGTTGAGGACGCTTCGTTGACGGGGAAAGTGCTTGAATTGCATGGGGAGGAGGTGACGTTTGCGGAGCCGCCGGCGTATGTCGATCAAGATACAGGAACGAATATTGAGATGTTTTGGAAGCTGGGGTATGCGTAGTAGATTGTATGCGGAGAAGGATGACGGAGTCGTGAAGAAGAGGTTGTAGCTATTTGCTAGACCTGTAGGTTGCTTTCCAACGGGTGGATTTAACGCCCGCTGACCCTATTATACATCAATTCATTATCGTAGAACCATCCCGTTATCAACGCCAGACACCAAAGAAACCCGGTATATATGTCGTTATTCCCATTTATCCCTTTCCATTTAACCAGCCCATCAAGAAGTCAATCGCTCTCATCCTGGAGCAGCACCTTGAGCTTCTCCAGTTTATCCTCGCACTTCACCTCCATCTGCATCACCACATCGACACTCTTCTTCTTCGTGATGAGGAGCTGTGACACAAGCCAAAAGTTGTAGCCGTTCTTGTAGAAGCCCATGGACGCCCACTCGTGGCTGGAGACTGTATTTCGCAGTGCCAACCAATGATCGCGCCATCGTGACAGTGCTGTTCGGATACCGGCTAATGTGGAGTCTTCCGGAATGGCACTTCGAGGGGTTTTTGTGGGCGTTGAAGGCCCTTGTGGTTTTTTTGAATTAGGCAACGGTGTTTTGTGTATCAAGGGAGCCAGGAGGGTCATGTGTGTATTTATGAAGGCATACAGTACTGGAGAAGCGTGAGTTCATCGTCAATGAGTAAGGGATGGGGTGAACATACAATGAATGAGAATAAACATATCGAGGACGGTCATATCGGCAATATGATCTGGAACATGGACTTGTGAACCATCCTCGCTGGCCGGGTTTTCAAACAAATTGTCAAAGGCCTTTGAGATGGGAATATCGCGTGCGAATCGGAAATTCGGCTCCACAAAGGGATGCTGCGAGTCGAAGACTGCCTCTTTGCACGGAAAGTCCCATTCCATTTCTGTGTGGGATATACGGCAGGGGTAGTTTGAGTAAAAGGAGAAAGCACAGTCGAGGAGTGATATGATATTCACGGTCCTGCAGGCACTCTGTTAGCCTTAATCACAAACTAGGGATGGGCATAGACATACCGAATGCGGCATTCCTTCTGGATCCACGAGTACTCGTCCATCGGATCATGGGGCATATGACGGCATTTCATGAGTCCGATTCGACGAGCGACCTGCACGCTAAAGTTAGTAGCATTCGCGGAATTCCCACCATGAAACCCACCTTGATGACTTCGCTGAATCTGTTCTCCATTACTCTATTGCGTGATACGCGACTTCCAGCCCAGTATTGCACAACCACGATGATGAAGCCGGCTTGGAAATTCTGGAACTGGACCCAGTCGTTGGACTCGTCGTCTAGACATCGATTCCCACAAAACATCGAGCTGATCTCGGTCTCCGACGCATAAACCTCGCTGGAAAAGATGAAGAGCTCGGCGAAATCCAGCACTCGCTTCGCAATATATGCTTCCCTCTCGTCATTGGTGTACATGGCGCCCATGAATGTGACGGCCGTAAGTAGGGGTAATGACACAACTTCCGGATCGAAGGATGCGCGATGAAGCATCGCACAGCTCGGTTGCCAGTACTTAAAGTACATTGCCACAAATTTGCGAATACGGCTTGTCGTCAGAAGGAAATTAAGATTTGTCGACAACTCCTGTTGAGCCTTCGCGTCAAGGGGCACGGACCAGGCCCTTGCGAGAATAGATTGTATCATTCCGGTGGCGAAGGGTCGTTCAGGTTCGTAGCTAAGCTGTTGCCCTGATAGTGTCAGGTTGGGATCCTGTCCGGGCGGAACGACAGCATGGTAAGCAACCTGCCCGACGTATGGGTCGTCCAGTAGCTTGTGAGGATCGCCAAAGGGGCCGTTGAAGAAGTCAATGAAAGTATCTTGGAAGAAGCTCAGGGTTGCAGCGTCGGACTCGATGAATGTGGGCGCATAATCTGTCCGACCATCTTTCAACTCATATCCGAGAATGGAACTCCCCGCGTCTTCGAGACTTTTCTTGTTGTGGTATTCGAGGCTGCGTGTTCGATCGCTGCGCGGAGGAAGGAGGAACTGCTGCGTGAAACTATCGGTACCGCCATTGAGAAGGAATTTGATCGATCCACGATCCGACGACTGTTCGTAGTCTTCGCGCTTCTCTGTTAAGGCGTCTGCCCAGTTGGAAAGTCAACGACCGCGATGTCTGAAGGAAGAGATAGGTCATACCTGAATCAGTCCCTTGGCTCGAGACTTGCTTTTTTCGCTCGTTGTTGCATTCGATCCCTCGTTTCTGACAAGAGCTGCAGGGATTTAACCCGTCGCACCGCAATTTCATCGACGTGCACTAAGGTGAGGGATGATTAGCGGCCATTCCACGCAATTAGCAGCAATGTCGAATTACCGATTGGCAAGCATGTCGTCTTCTCCCTCGCTGTCCCGTATCAGGGATTTGCCGATCCCCCCTTTTAGGACAATCTGAGTAGTGGTCACGAAGGTTGTCGCTGCAGCATGGTCGAGGGCAAATGTTAGCGTGGAGGCGCAGTGAGCAGAACAGCAAGAGAGATGTGCCAAGCGGCGAGTGCAATTGGCACATTTCATTCGGTGAGAGAATCACGAAAAGCACAGCATACCAACGAGCAAAGGAGTCATTGCAGAAGACACAAGAGTAAGGTTTGATTCCGGAATCTAAGAAGTTATTCCAGCGAGTCAGTCAATCTGATTTCAGACTGTAAGTGTGATAGCGAAATTCCTACGATCGGAGCGGCAAGGGAGAGCTGGACGGGAGGCAAAACCACATACGGCGAAGATGATGCCTTTTCAGATGATCAATGCGTGTAAATCCTCGCTGACAGATGGTGCAACGAAAATGTTTGTCGGAATCAGGCTTCATAATGGAGGAGAAGAAGCGTTGGCGCGCATCGGGGAGAAGCTCGAGGGATGGGGAGGAAGTCTGGGGTAAAGGGAGAGGGGAGGGAAATTAGAGGGGGACGAAGGAGGCGGAGTTACAGGAGATCAACCGCAGAGGATAGAGCTAAGTATGATGCGCTCATTCCTGCACTGGACTAAGATGGGAAAATGGTAGTCGGGATTGTTAATAAAGATGAGAATTATCTGCAGCAGTAGGGATATTCATCACTACTACTGACAAAGATGCTCACTCCCCAGTCGCCAATTCCTGCCAAAGAAACTTTTGTGGCTAACCGAATAGCTACGTCGATACTTCATTTTCTCCTCCAACCAAGTAACCGGTGAATTGACCTACTTTCCTTACTGCTCTTATGAACCATGGAGTCTTAAGCCGGGTCTAACCGTACGTAATACCATGACAGTATAGAATGACAAGACCGAGATAGGTAATCAATCGCCCGTGAGGTCATCTCAAAAGGAACCGAGTCGCTCCCTCGGAAAGCGGCAATTGTCTTTTCCCGGCAGGTTCCCTTCACTTTCTGGTACACCGGTTGCCTTTTTGAGCTTGGTCCAAACACTATTAGCTTGGCCTCATTGCTTGTTCTCTATTCTAAGGGACCCATGTTTAGTACATTGTTCGGACGCCTTTCTGGCCTAGTGGTGTCATATTTCAATATTATCACACGCAGACTACTACCAACACTCGGCGGGGAAATATGGATTCGGAAATATGGATTCTCGCATACAGTCTCTCAAGCCAGCGTTAAGTTGAGAAGTGGACTGCCAGGATGACCATGCTCATTGACCCGATACCGCAATGACATTTGTTGGAAAATCAACTTCGTCATCATTCAGATAATCCACGTTGATCTTCTTCAACTTTTCATTCTCCGTCCAGCCGTCTCCAAGCCAGCCGTTTGGATTGGCATTGACATAGTCGTACGTGTAATCCTCCCAACGAGGATACGCCAGAGCTCTCATTGAATGAAGCGAGGAACCTATGGCTTCGTTAGTGATAACGGAAATACGGCACTTGTTCATATCAAGGGAGCGTACCGGGCCATAATGCAGTGACTCTGCCATCCTCGGTCCCTCCCTTGTACCAGCTACGGCATTTCTCGCTAAACACCGTTCTTGAGAAGTACTGGTCACAGTAGCGAGTAAACATCTCTACCGCTTCTTTTTTCACACTCATCGCTCGGATGTTATCACGCTGCATCTTCTGCACGCAGAGCGTAAAGTAATCGATCTCCTTCTCAATCAGAAGCAACAGGTTACCCTCGCCTAGTGCCGCGTTTGGCCCCAAGCAGACGAAGTAGTTTGGGAATCCATCGACAGCCAGGGAGAGATAGGTCTCTGGTGTCTTCTGCCAGCGATTGGCTAGAGTGGCACCCTTGCGTCCGATGATTGGGTATCTCGGAGTGAATGTGGTGTCGAACCCAGTTGCGCAGACAAGGACATCCGTGGGATGATGTTGTCCGTCTGCTGTGATGATCCCCTCTGCATCGACTTTGACGATCTTGCTTGTGATGACGTCCACTTTGTCGTCCGTCAAAGCCTCAAGATATCCCGGGCCTGGAGTGAGCCGTCGGCACACAGGAGGAAATGAAGGTATCAAATTTTCGCACAGTTCAGGTTTCCTCGAGAGTCGGCGCTTCATATTCTGTAAGAAGACCTCTCGCGCGCCGATCTGTTCAGGTGTGCCAAGTAGCGTCACACCGTGGACTGATTGCAACTCGAGTTCGATTTCTGCCCTTGAATCAGAACCGATGCTCACGGTATCTTCAACGAGAAGCACTCACCTTTGCGGAACCTCTGGTAGGTGCTGTGGTCCTTCTTGAAGGTTTCAATCTCTTCTGGTGTAAACGAGACTATTCCAACTAGGTCAATACTTTTTTTTAACGGCATGACTGGATGGGTTGACAAACAGTTCTCCAGTTCAGCTCCTCCTCGTTTATCCACATGTTGGCGGGCAAAGGTGGGGGAAAGCCACGTTCGCCCCCTAATGTAGTGGTCGATGTGAGCTACCTTTGGTAGCATGCCAGGAACGATCTGGATGCCGCTCGATCCATTTCCTATCACCGCGGCTCTTTTGCCCTAGCCAGAGGTTCAGCTTCCGTTTCTCAAGATATTTCAGGCCGACTCACGGTATAATCATAGCTCTCATCCCAACGGGCACTATGCTGCAGCTTGCCCTTGAAGTCGTGCAAGCCTGGGATATCTGGCCACTTCCACGAGTTCAATGCACCAGTTGCGGAGATCAATATATTACATTCGTCCGAATACACAGAGTCTGTCTGGATGTCTTGGACCTGCGTTCAATGTCAATACTGACTGTCGATGGCCCAGGTACGGAGGACCAACCTTCAATTGCCACTTGCTCTTCGAGTCGTCCCAGACAGCTTCAACGACTCCCTGCTTCAGCTTGACGTACTTCATGCAACCATACTTTTCAGCCACACGCTTCCAGTACGCGTGGATCTCCGGAGCGGCAGCATAGAACGTCGACCATTCTTTGTTTGGCTCAAAGGTAGCTTGATACGTATGGGCTGGGATGTCTGCGAACATCGTAAGCGGTCGGTCGTCATTGACGCGAGACAACTCACGCAGGAAGATGACGAGCCTCACCACATGCACAACCGGGATATCTGTTCTCGAACCAGGTGCCCCCGATATCTTCATTCTTCTCATACACGCAGAGATCCACGTTGGGGATCCTTTGTCTGAAGCGAATGGAGGCGATGATCCCAGAAATGCCCGATCCAATGATAACGACTCTCAGGGGACGGGCTTCGTCGATGGAACGCTCTTCCACCATCCACTTATTCTCGACAGGTCGTGCCTCTTGGCTCTTGGAGCCGCTACCAAAGAAGAAACGTTTCATATTGATTGTATATGTGAAATTGGGGAGGAAGGTCAGAGAGAAGTTATCCAGAAAGGCATGCACAGGGGAAAACGAAGTCGAGATGCACTATGCTGAGAGCACGTTACCCGAATAGCCTGCTTGGCGTCCAGGGTAGAGCTACAACCTTGCAGACTATATAACAAACAAAACCAGGATACACGACCAATATGAGAACACTCGAACCAGACCAAAGATCGGCGAGACCTGCCTTTCCGAATCGCTTACCCCCTGCTCACTTTTCCCAACTGCTATTCTTGACTCTCCTCCATGGACCACAGAGCTACGCAACTCCGTATTCCTTCCCGTTGGGACGCCAACAGCCGCTCAAGCGAACCCAGGATCGGGGAGGATTAGTTATTCGCGTTGGCCCATGAGCTTCCTACGTCCGTTACCGTTTCCGTCCTTCGACTGGCTCAACAGACAAAGCTAGCATGATTTCATCGCTGCCATCTACTTCCGGTTTGCGGAGGCGGATACGTGCTTCAGTCTCGGGATTCCCCCTTCTCCTCTCCCAAGTCCCTGGTGGCTGACCCTGGACTCCAATTGCGGGGTAAGAAGCTTTACGGAATGGATTCGTGATGCTAATATTTGGGACCATATGCAGAAAGCAAGCTTCCAGACATAACCGAAAGACTCCGTATAGTGCGTCTGTTTCAGTGAGCTGATTTGACGGAAACCGACCGTTGAGTGGCCGAGCCTCACTCTATGACCTGCCAATGTTAGTGAGTTGGACAAATTGATGCTGTCCATAGCCGGAAGGACTTTATCCTGACCCCATTTGTGATTCCCAATCGCTGCGCATGACTTGCAACTTCGACCAGATGGACGTGTTGGTAATGCTGCCTGACATGCCTTGCTATGGCTATGCCGGTATCCAGCCGAAAAACCCCGCATAAACACACCCCTGTGTACAACTGACATATCATACGACGGCGGAATCTGAGCGCCCAAAGACGGGACTAGCCACCTGCCAACGCACGGACATTTTTCCACGGCGGAGAAACCCCGAGATTAAGTATGAGGAGGGGATGATGCATGCATTCACCGGAGAAAGCATTTTCCAGGAGTAGAAAGGTCTTTTCACCCTGCTCTAGCCACCCTGATGCTACTTCCAGATGAATAGATATCCGTTATTCCGTCCATACACATCATTGAATACAACCGGGATTCCCCCTGGCACAAACTTTGCCCCACAACTGGACATAGTAAAATGCGGGGTTTCGGCTCAAGAATAGTAGCCAACCGTTGTTGAAGGGGTAACGATTGAGGGCCCTGGTTCAGGCTGGTTGTTTATGTTGAGGGTTGCTGATGGTGGAATAAGAGCTGAATACAGCATGTTCTAGATACCCTCAAGTAACCAATCACCTAGACTGTCGAGCGATATCGATGTTCTCTGCTATAGTTATTCAACGGTATGGGATATAGGGTCTTTAATAGGCGCAGGTGTAGCAATAGTCGCCAAGAAGTCCTCATACCGTCCAACATCCGATGACGGTGTTGGAATGTTGAATCTTTCTTCTCGCGAAGTAGCTTGAAGTCGTTGTTTCCCAGGCAGTGTAGAATGGGAGTACATCTGCTTGTTTACAACGTCCACACGTGATGGGTGACGTGTCTCCTTAAGTCTGTCAGGCTACAGCAAACTGAAGAGGAGGACTAGATGTCTAAATCTCCGTCTTTTTCAGTGACCGACGACCGCGATCAAAGCTAACATCGACTTCACAACAGCCTGCTCACTTACTCATCTCAATAGCAATCATGCATTCGACTTCGATTTCAGAGGGAACCAGCTCGGGGCAGTCCCCCCTGCAAATCCACATCGACGGACTCTCCTCCCTACCCCTCCACGACACCATCCAAAGCTTGGCACACCTCCTCCCCGAGCTAACCTCCTCCATCACGCCAACAGGCGAACGCCTCGTGACGCATCCTACCTACGAAGGAACAGGCAAGCTCGACGACCTGGGCATACTCTACCTCCGCGCCGCAGATCGCTGTACCCGCGAACGAGCATCCTTCAAAACCCGTCTCCTGCACGTATCCCTCGATTCCATGATCGAAGCACTGTATGCATCAAGCCAAGAGCAGCTCGACAAGGGGTTGGAAGATGGGACTGTGCATCTCCCTCCTAGCCTAGACGAGGGGTGTGCGTGTTGCAATGGCGAGCCGTTTGCCGTGATTCTTAGCGGATTTCATGAGGGTAATGCGTTGCTTTTCTGGGAAGATGAATACAAGGCTTTTTGGGGGGAGGAGGAGAGCCGAGGGGAACGGTATGGTCTCGGCGAGACTTGGATCAGGGCTTCGAGGGAGCAGGTTGAGCGTGCGATGACGCGGGAGGAGGCGAGTGTGATACCTAGTATGCTTTAGATGGTTCTGGATGTGCCACTCCGTAGTGGATTGAAAGTTCCCCTGTGAGGGGTTGATCTTGGAAGATGCCATTTTTGTAAAACTTGCTTCCGAGGCATACTGCTAGTAACTCTACCATTGAAGAATGCCCCCCACTACGGATCCACTGTCAACGATAGTGGATCACACCAGGCTTGACCAGAAAGCCATGAGCCGATCGGGGGTCGATCAGCGTGATTGATGAGCTTCGTGTAATCATCTTGTCAGCAGCTGCTTCTCCAGTGTGGGATGCCTGCCTTATTCGTTCAAGCTATCATTGTGCACCCCGTCTTTCTGCATCCGCCGTATTTCCGAACATACCAAAACCAATGATGGCGTCTGGTGCAGCATTATCGTGAAGGATCACTCTGAGATTGAAATCCTCCGCGACGTCACAGGTGGTTTCCATCCCAAAGGAGATTTATTACTTATCCAACTGCTTGCACTTATAGTCCAGTCGCAATCGCCGTGCCCATCCCTGTCTACGTATCTTCTCGATTTTGACATCGCCATTCTACATTGAATGCACTGTTCAGCTGCAATATCTTCTCTATGCCTGTATTCACCGAATACGCCGCCTCGTCGCGTGAACTGCGCGTTCTGCCTTCCTTCGCTCCTCCACTTCCCCGCCTTTCCCCGCGATTTACGCGTCCTGAGGGAGCGGAGAAATATGAAGTCGTCATTGTCGGTGCTGGACCTGCAGGGCTCATGCTGAACCTGCTTCTGGCACGATACGGCCTCAACGATGACTCTCTGCTCTGTATAGATGCGAAACCAGGCACGCTCAAATCGGGCCAGGCGGACGGCCTGCAGCCGCGCACGCTCGAAGTCCTCAAATCTCTCGGGCTCGCGGACGAGATTCTCACCGATGGCTGTCACATGGAAGAGGTGGCGTTCTGGAATCCGTCGCCCGACAAGGAGAAGGTGATTGAGAGAACGTCAATCATTCCCGACGTGGCTGTGCCTGCCCGCTTTCAACACGAAGTCACAATCCACCAGGGTCGCATTGAGCGAATCCTCGAAACCGATCTGCTCCGGTATTCGAGACAAGGCGTGCAGCGGAACACCAAGCTTGTGGGCGTCAAGATCGACGAGGCGGGCGATGCAGAATTCCCAGTGGTCGCCGATGTCGAGACGGACGGCGTCCGCCGCACAATACGCTCGAAACACCTGGTGGGCGCGGATGGTGCCCACTCGGTAGTCCGGCGTTGCATGGGACTCAAGCTCGTCGGCGAGTCGATGGACCATATCTGGGGCGTGGTCGATCTGGTAATCGACACTGACTTCCCCGATATTCGAAGACGCTGCGCCATCCATTCACCGGCCGGGTCTGTCATGGTCATCCCGCGGGAGCGCATCGCGACGGGCGACTACCTGACTCGTCTCTATGTTCAAGTACCGGAAGAGACACCTCCTGAAGAGGACCAGAAGCCTGTTAATGGGACTACTTCTCAGTCCAAGGGCGATGCACGCGCGCGTAGAAGCCAGGTGACTCAGGAATCGATTTTCCGGCATGCAGCGCAAGCGTTCAAACCTTACTATATCCGGCCTAAGGAAGAGGGTGCAGTCGACTGGTGGGCTGCGTACCAGATCGGGCAGCGAGTCACGGACAATTTCACCGTCAAAGACTCCAAGGGAATCAATCGGGTGTTTATTGTGGGAGATGGTATGTGTCCTTAAGCGCTTTGATGAAGGTTGCTGATTGTCCGATCTGCTTAAGCTTGTCATACACATAGCCCAAAGGTATGTGGCTATCCAAAGCCTTTCAAGATAATTTGCTGATGGGATGGTCAAGGCTGGCCAAGGAATGAATGTGTCGATGATGGATTCGTATAACCTAGCTTGGAAACTGGCGTATTCCCTGCATGGCCTCACACCTGATTCGGCGGTTCCCGGACAACCCGATGCCATTGTGGATACATACCACTCTGAGCGCCATACAATCGCCCAAGAACTCATCGCGTTCGATCGTGCCTTCTCGTCCATGTTCTCCGGCAAGATTGGGGCGTCAGATGACGGAGTCGAGGGACTCACGCACGAACAGTTCCTCGAAGTCTTTAGCACGGGCAATGGATTCACCAGTGGTTGTGGTATTGAGTATCCTAGTAGCCTAATGGTGGACAAGGTTTCGGAGGACGGCGTAGAAAACCCAATTACCGGGACAGACTACCTGTCCGGTGTTCTTCGTCCAGGCAGAAGATTACTTGACGTTCGATGCAAGCGCCATGCAGATGGGAACAGACGGCACTTGCATGACGGTACGTTATTCCCGCGTCACACCGTTCCTCTGGAGGCCAACACTGACAATATCCAGACTTTCTGTCGACAGGTCGCTTCCGCATTCTGTGTCTCACGTCTTCCGACCTCCTTGACCTCAACGGCGTTTCTGCCCAGGTATTGACCACTCTTGGATCATCTGTCCTTCCACGATTCCCGCCGAACATTATTGAGCAGGTGGTTAACCATCCTCGCTTGGGTAAGACGTTCATGTGGCAGGATGTGCCGAGTGAGCTTAAGAAACACTCGGAGATGCGGTTCTACAGCGGTTACGAGTTAGACGATGTGTACAAGATCTACGGCGTAGACGAGACGAAGGGTGCTCTGGCTGTCGTTCGACCTGATGGATATGTCGGCATGGTGGCGGCGTTGGATGATGTGAAGCGTGTAGAGGAGTACTTAGAAAGGTGCTTGAGGACTGTCTAAAGCTAAGATAGCGTCGCATATATAACGAGTACCGATTCATTTCTCCAATGCAATTGATTTTGTGATTGCAGACAATAAGAATGTCGCTGAGATATTCTTAGCAAGAGACATCACGTGACCGGACAAAGCAGAAGATTAGTCACCGGCACGTGGCTACAGTGCCGAAAAGCCGATTTCTCCTCTTTTCCTCACCTTTTCGTCATGGTCAACGACACTTGACTGGCCACAATGGAGGCGATGACGGGTCAGGCCGCTCATGGAGAGCGTCCGTTGGCTCTCCGTCAACGGTGGAGAGCCAAAACCCGACACCGTGTGTGTCAAGCTTTTCTTCTCCAATGATGATGGGCTATCTGGTGAAAACCCGCCATGGCCTCTCTCCACTTGTCGGCATTAAGCAGCTTTTATCGCCGCAGTCGTGTTCTTGCAGGTGGGATCGCCATACAAAACCTGCTCTGGCCCTGCTTGCGGTCCTCCGGGGGGCTCTTGTGGTGGTCGTGTTGATACAACAGTGCCTGTTTTATCGTTATTCTTGTCTACTTCTACCGGAACTTTGGTATCAACGAAGTAGTCTCTATCTACAAGAGTCGCGTGATCTTTACGAAGTGGTTGGCCATGACTCAAGATGGAGGGAAGGAGACTGGACAAACTAGATCGCGATCAACATCGGTAAATAGCACGAATGACAGTCAGCACCTGTCACCCATAGATTCAACGGAATCAGAACGTTCGCGGAGTTTGAGACTCCTATCCATAACGAGGACAAGGTCGGAATCCAGACCTAGGAGAGGGAACCTCGACAGAGTGTACTCTGGCAGGCACCTGGATGATCAGTCGGTCTACCATAGCGATGACGACGCTCCTGAAGCCAATGCAGTAGATTCGTCTGCAAAGGATGATGATGAGAAGCAGGGAACCCCCGTGCTTGAAGTTAGAGCAGGAATCTTGAATGAACGCGACACTGATTTGGAAGCGGCTGCTCGCGATCAGAGTACGCTGGAAAAGTCACGAACGGCCAAGTCTGACAGATCTCGGGATCCTAAACTGGTAAGATCAAGCCGTCATCTGAAGAGGCATTCTGTCCAAGGGCAATAATAACGCGGAGACAGGTAACATGGGATGGCCCCGATGACCCTGAGAACCCTAAGAATTGGACAAACAAGAAAAAATGGGCTGCTATTATCACGGTCTCCCTCTTCACTTTCATCTCCCCAGTATCTTCGTCCATGGTTGCCCCTGCGTTGCCGTCGATTGCAAGCGAATTTCATATCGAGGACCAGGTGTCTTCCCAGCTTACTCTGTCCATTTTCGTGTTGGCCTATGCCGTCGGACCTCTGTTTCTGGGGCCGCTTTCAGAGATCTACGGAAGAGTTATCGTTCTGCAATTGTCCAACTTGTTCTATCTCGTGTTCAACATCGCATGCGGCGTCTCGCGAACTAAGGGGCAGATGATCGCTTTTCGATTTCTGTCTGGCCTTGGAGGCAGTGCTCCGTTAGCTGTGAGTCTTTTTTCCCATAAATAGTCTTCTACTAAATAACTAATGACCTTTAGGTTGGTGGAGGTGTGCTTTCGGACTGTTTTAAACCAGAAGAGCGCGGAAAAAGTGTTGCAATCTACAGTCTTGCTCCGCTCCTTGGTCCAGCTGTCGGTCCTATAGTCGGTGGCTTCATTTCTCAAGACACCACCTGGCGATGGGTCTTTTATGCCACCTCCATTGCCGACGGAGTCATCCAATTCGGGGGGCTATTCTTCCTCCGTGAAACATACGCACCCAAGATTCTGAAATGGAGAGCAGAGCGGATCCGAAAGGAGACGGGTGATTCGGCGTACCAGACTGAAACCGAGCGACAGAACAAAACCCTTTCGCAAACGATGCGGACTGCGCTGGTGCGGCCGTTCCGCCTCTTGTCCACCCAGCCCATCGTTCAAGTCTTGGCGCTGTACATGGCCTTTATTTATGGGACGATGTACCTTGTCCTTTCGACGTTCAGCTCTCTGTGGACAGGTGTTTACAATGAATCTACGGGTATTGGTGGTCTGAACTATATCTCCCTTGGCTTGGGATTCTGGCTGGGCTCTCAGATATGCGCTCCACTGAATGACCGCATCTATCGCCGGCTCAAAGCCCGTAATAACAACGTCGGCAGGCCCGAATTTCGAGTACCTCTTTTGGTTGTGGGCGCTTTCCTCACCCCAGTGGGTCTATTTATCTATGGCTGGACCGCTCAGTTTCGCCGCCACTGGATCGCCCCTAACATTGGTGCCTGTCTCTTCGGTGCTGGGAACATCATCGCCTTTCAGTGCATCCAGACCTACATGGTGGATACATACACGAGATTCGCTGCCAGCGCCCTAGCCGCGGTGGCTTTCTTGCGTTGCATATGTGGATTCGCCTTTCCACTATTTGCACCGTACATGTACAACGCGCTGCACTACGGATGGGGTAATAGTTTGTTAGCTTTTGTGTCTATTGGTCTGGGGATACCGGCGCCTATATTCCTCTGGAAATATGGAGAGATTCTGCGCAAGCGCAGTCCATATGCGGCGGGTTAGATGTGTGCACTAGTTGAAAGTACATAGCTACATAGCACGTTGTAGATAGCCTAGCTCAATGTCAAGATGCACGTTCTGCCAGCGTCTCAAGACATCGTGTCCCGGAGTCTGATCTTTGTTACCACCCAAGACGTCGTCGAGCCAGATTTACCTGGAAGTCCGGAATGCTGCTCACAGTGTCATGCTCTTAAGGTCTTTGCGTGAACGAACAGAATCAACCGCATCCAGTCAATACTGGCTTCTGAGGCTACATCAATCCTCGCTTTTGGATTGACCGCTACTTCCATCTCGGTCCTTCGCAGATCGTGGATACTGAAGTCAACGTGGCTTTACGGCACGACATCGGATCAGCCTCCTGCCCAGAATACTGTACCCTTCTAATTTGATATTTGATTGGACGCTCGAAAAGGGGCTGAGGTACAGATCACATGCTACGGAATAATTCAAAATCCGAGGCCAATTGAGTTTTGGCTAAATTTAGCGTGCAGAAGGTAAATCCGCTATTCCCGATCCAGTAATAAAATTTCGAATTTTTCCATGTGAAAATCAACAATCAGAGAGGCGTCCAGCCATGCATCGTAGAAAGAAAGCCACAACTTCCATGCGGTGCAGCATATCAACTGTCTAGTATAATGCAATAGAATTGAATCAAATCATGTAGTCGGACCCCAATCCCATACTGACTGCTCCGTGTACTCTGTATCAGACAAGCTCTCCGAAATGCAAGAGGACTCCTACTCCTATCTCAACCCTTGGCCCCAATTTCCTAACCGAGCATAGCTCTCTCCTTACGGGTATGTTGAGTACCTTTCTCAACGGCTGGGCATCAATGGATCAAAATCTAACACTCCGCTAAAAAACGGACCTCAGGCACATGGACAATGCTGGTGTCCGACTGGCCAGAGTGGTCAAAATGATCCACTTGAGCCCGTTTGACAGATTCAGGAACCGCTTTTCTGGAAACATTTGGTGGAAAGGAGATTGGCCAATGGATTCGCTTGCGATGTCGGGTTCCAGCTGCTTAGCTATCGTACGATAGCGAATGGCTTGCTGGCCTTTTCTGGGGAGATATTTTTTTTTCCTCTCCCTTTTTTTTCACCTTCAGTTTTGCCAATTGCTCGATTTCGATTAAGGACAGCTGGGAAAATGGCGGAGGTTCGCAAGAGAGCTGTACAGACAGAGACAGAGGTATGTTTCTTTCTGTGCAATATGGATCAGAAAAGCATGCTCACATACTCCTAGGTTGTTGTCCAAGACAACACTCCGAGTCTCAAATCGCTCAAAGATGCCATTCCCAAAGAATGCTTCGAGTCCTCGCTCGTCACCTCCCTCCTCTACCTCGCCCGTGATATCCTTTACTGCGCCGTCCTGACTTACGGCGCCTTCCATATCCATCTCATCCCCTCGTTACCGCTCCGCGCCCTCGCCTGGGCCACATATGGCTTCTTCCAGGGCTGCGTCGGAACAGGGATGTGGATTCTGGCCCACGAATGCGGCCACGGGGCTTTCTCTCCCTACCAGGGCATCAACGACTTCATCGGCTGGGCCACTCACTCCTTCCTGCTCGTCCCTTACTTCTCCTGGAAGATCACCCACGCCCGTCACCACCGGTACACCGGCCACATGGAGAAGGACACAGTCTTCGTGCCGTGGACGGACGAGCAGCTCGCGCAGAAGAAGAACGTGCGCATCGAGCAGCTCAAGCACCTCGCCGAGGAGACCCCTATCGTCTCCTTCCTGCAGCTCATCGGCCACCAGCTCGGCGGGTGGCAGCTGTACCTGCTGACGAACGCCACCGCCGGCGCGCAGAGCTGGCCCGAGGGCAAGCCCAAGACCGGCCCGGCTAGCCACTTCAACCCGGTCGGCGCGCTGTGGAGCCCTTCGCAGCGTCTCTCCATCGCAATCTCCGATCTGGGTCTGCTGATCATGGCCTCGGTGCTGTACTACGCGAGCACGCAGATCGGGGCATGGAACGTCGTTCTGCTCTACTTTGTCCCTTACCTGTGGGTTCACCACTGGCTGAGTATGTCCCCGTTTTCCTCAGATTCAACTTGAATATATATCTAATGTAAACAGTCGCCATCACATACCTCCAACACACCCATCCCTCCGTCCCTCACTACACCCCCGAAGCGTGGACCTACACCAAGGGCGCCCTCGCCACCGTCGACCGCACGATGGGCTTCATCGGCCGCCATTTCTTCCACGAGATCATCGACTACCACGTTGTGCACCACCTCTTCAGCCGGATCCCCTTCTACAAGGCGGAGCAGGCCACCTGGGCCATCCAGCCTCTGCTCGGGGCCCAGTACAACGAGGAGAAGGAACAGAGTTTCCTTGGTTCGTTGGTTACGACGTTCCGGAAATGCGTCTATGTTTCGGCCAAGGGGCATGCGTCGCAGCCGGGTGTGCTGCACTTCGTGAAGGCTGATGAGGGGAATTAATTGGTGGCGTTGGTGGATTGGATAGACATAGAGTTTTGAGGAGATAGACTAATTGTCATAGACATACCCTAGTTGTTTTGTTGGATGGTCGATGTGTATATAGACAAACGCTTAGATGTATTAGAACTAGAGCTGAAGAGTGTGATTATACTAATCATTCGTGAAACTCATGCTGCGAATCCAGATTTATTAACCTATGTAGCTTCCTCCTCGTGCATACCGACGGAAGGACGACTAAGAGACAATACTATCGCATCTGCGGAGTGAGGAAAGTAAACAACCACTAAATAATCTACCATGGATCGAAGCATGAAGACCTTAACTAAGCTCGAAGACTGTAGTCACGAGATCATGAGGCAGCTGTGTAACAATGAAAGTAGCCAGGATGGCACCCTGCAGCTCTACCTGGGACTCTTGTCTCTCGTCGAGGCGATCGATCCATGTGATAAAAGTGGCGGTGACTGCAAAGCCTCAAACAAACAAACCTCCAGGAATAGCTACAGACCCACTGATGTTCTCATCCAGTCTTCAGCACCGCCACACTAGTGGTACCCAGCACTCTACATTCACATCCACTGTTTCTACTCTGTATGAGTATAGACTGAGCATTATCTTGAAATGTGACGAACGCATTCATCCAGCCCCGCGACATATGCAGAAGACAGTATCGCAACCAATAACTGCAGCCTGCAGCCTGCAGGATAAATAAACCCTCACCGCTAGCTCTGCGCCCCACCGTGTACACACTCACCTCCCAATAACTGCGGCCACGATCCACCTTTATGTCATCTTGCATGCTAGTCGACTTCAAGCTAGACGGTAGACTAGACACTGTAGGGCAGCAATGCCTCACCGACAGCCAGGAGCTGCGCGTGTATATATAGCCTTGAGCTCCGCTCGTTCTCAGACCTCAACTCGCGTCAACAAGTTTCTGTCTCAAAGATTGTTAATAGAAGAAAAGCATGTCCTTCCACCAATCCAGCCAAGACATCCACATCCGCCAGGAGGACGGCTACACCCTCCTCCTGGCCAATGTCCGCGATAGCCATGGCCAGCTGATCCAGCGCAAGATCAGACTTGATGATCATATTGGCAATACAGATGGTATATACCCCCCCTTTCCATAGTTGTGATTGTGTTTATCTGCAGAAGCTAATAGTATAGGATGGTTCATCTGGGGCGGCACCAACTTCACCCGGACGGCGAGGAATATCTCGCTCGAACATACCGCGTATGGACCTAAACTGTGTGCTGAGCTGCAGACGAGAGATGGTGGATGGTCGAGGGGGCTGCAGGGGATTATGCTTTCGGAGAAGATTGCTAATAATGATGGGCATTTGAAGTTTTTGGTGAGTTTGCTCTCTTGTTGATGGCAGTTAGGATAGGTTGATACTGATGTCGAGATAGGGTCCTTGATTGATTGGTCGTGGGGATGCGAATAGACATAGTGCTAATGAATGGAGATGGGCGAGAGGAGAATTCTCCCGTATATCCAGTCGCAGGAAGTGTTTGCGTGTGTAGATGGACAGTTCTTTCAGTCATCCTGAGAACTCATGTAGTGGTACTGCAGGCCCGGGAACACTTCGCTGTTACATTCCACAGCGACGTATGAGTCTGAACTCGAGTAGATTGACTGATGAGTAGTGACACATTCTGAAGCAGGCGCTGACTGTCACCTCACCGCTAGAGACAGACTCACTTGAGCCGGCCACGATCCATTGCGGTGTCAACCATGGAACCCTCGACGCAAACATGTCTGGAGCCCTCTCCAGAGTCCGGACGACCATTCCAGAGTAGCAGAAAAATTGCGTAACAATGTGTTCAACACGATGTCATCTTGCAATGATAGAGACAGCAACGCCTCAGTACAGCTGGGCGGTATATAACCTCAGCTCCGCTTGTCAGCAGTTTTCGAAGTTGCCTTAGTCACAACAGGGGAAATGTCACTCCACAAAACCTGCGAACACCTTCAGATTATTCGGAGGATTGGCGCGACTGACCTCGTGGCTGACGCCCGTAATAGCTCCGGACGGAGGGTCCCCAACAAGATCCGACTTGATGACCATATTGGTGAAAAAAAAGGTATTCCCTCCTCCCCGGTGGGCATGTTCAATCTGGAGACTTAGGTTCTAACTGCGTCAGGACGACTTGTGTGGGGAGGACAGAACTTCACACACTCTGCGGGACAGGTCTCCCTAGAGCAGACCGAGCATGGGGCTATTATGCGTGCCGAGATGAATAAAGACGGGGGGTCGGCAAATCGTCAAGAGCTCAATCTTTCTGAAAAGATTGTCAATTTTGATGGACAACTGAGGGTTGTTTGAGTTTCTTGCATTGAGGCGGTTGGATCAAGTCGACTCATGTCGGAGATAGCATTCTTTGAATAGGACATAGAAATGCGAAATGCACATACGGAGTAGTATGTGATGGAATGGATGTCACCACCATAAACCAGAGACTTGGTAGCCTGAATGCCTGATAGATACCTGAAATATCCGGCCACTGCGCGGCCAGGTCAATCTGATCTGTCAGATCGGATGATGTAGCAGCACGAGTCCTGCTGCCTGGCTTGTCCAGTCGGCATTGGCGCACCACCTGCTGTGCAATCAGAGGCTTCGAGCAACTTCCAGCCCCTCATCAATGACATTCCGCACGCTTCGATGAACTGGCTCAGAGCATCCATGACAGAATCACGTGACTAGATGCCGAATAACGTAATCCTGGACTCCTGGGAAAACCTTGACTGATTCAACTATTCGAAGATGTGGGACATGGCGTCCAGAGAAGTCTGTCTGGCCAATCATCCTTTTTGTGGGCGTTACGAACCGGATCAGGAACCTGCTTGGCTTCTTGGTATCGGCTGTGATGTCTGCCGTGCTCGGCACACAGGGGTCAAATTTCGAAACCTAAGCCCACAGGGAAGCCGATGGCAGGTGTCATAGTCGTCTTGTCCGTCTCGAGCTGGACGGACAAATTGACTTTGTGGACTGGAGTCATTACAACAAGGGTGTTTGGAACTATGTTAAATCCCTCGCTTGGGTTCACCAACATCTATCTATCGAGGACAGGCCACTGCACTTTATCGGGGTCGTTCTCTTCTCACAATTGATGACACGGCCAGGGTCGGCAAGCTAACGGTGATTTAACGGGCGAGTCGACCGCAAACAGGCCGACCCGAGACATTGGACTTTTCACTTGCTGGCTTGGAGCGGGCGAAGGATTATGCGGATAGCGGAGTTGGCGGGGACAAGTCAACAGGCAGAGTTTAACCATTGATTATTAGCCAAGCAGCTAGGGCCTTGGTCGTATGATTGGAAGATTGGAAAAAACTCCATACTTGCCGACGCAATTACCCTTGGCTTTTTTGTTGGTAATGCTTTCGTAATAAAATATGTCCAACTCTAGTGACAAAAAGGCATCTAGAACCGTAGTTCAAGGAGGGAGGTCGCTTAATCTTCGGCGAGCCCGCAGCGTCCATAGTTCTCTTCCCCACGTACGGAGATTTGTGGGAGTTCCACTTATTATTCCCCGTACTAGAATCGTTAGCGAACTCGTCCGATGCAAAATCCGAGTGCCGGGATGTATGCTAGTTGCTAACTCGAAATTCTCACCGGCAGCAAGGTGAACCTGGGGAGGGTGTCTGGGGATCCCCGCATGGAAGACCATGAACAGCGGACTACTATCTATGGAGTCATGGACTTGGACACGAGCAAAAGTGGGAAGTGGATACTGACAGAAAATGATGATGAATCGAGTGGAAGCGAGAACCGAAGGCCAACAGACGCAACCAAGCTTCCTTGGACGGAGGAAATGGGCGCATTGGTCGAGACAGCAACAGACGAGTGGAAAAGCTTCAGTTCCTGTCGGTCATACCGTGGTTTGCACGTGGTAACAAACTCTGTTTCCTTACCACTGTCATTATCCATCCATCCATTCATTCATTCATTCATTCTACCTTACCTCCTGTCACTTGTAAGTTTCCTCCTGATGAGGTGTCTATCATTTGCTCTATCTTCCTGTTTATTGCCTAATCTATGCTCTGGAATCCCCTCATCTGCTGTTGATTGCTGACTCGAACTCTGGCTGAAGTGTAAGATCGAGGATTTTCCTCTCTGGGTAATTCGTTGTTTATTAGGTTTCAGACGATGAAACATTGTTACAACGTTACAGGCCCATGGCCCACCAACAGTCTTGGCATGCCAGCCTGTCAACCTGCACTTCAGCAATCAGCAGCCACTTTCATTCTTGTTGCTCACTCTCGGACAGGCAGCTTCCTCGCATCGACTGTCAGATCCGTAGTCAGTGGCAATGCTCTGAATCAAAAGTAAATCTAGCGAGATTGGTTCTCGGCCGCAAATCACGGGTCGGCATCAAGTGATCATAGACTCGCAGACTCGGCCAGATCCGAAAGACAATTCATCCTCGGCTCGCTCCATCCAGTGAGACACTTGCATAATAAAAATCATGATCCTCAGAGAGGAAAACACACAGCCAATTCCAGCGCGGCCCGCTCTTCCATTCACATATTGATGTCCCGCCATACGTCCGCGTGCGACGGTAACTTACAGTTGAGGTGGCGCTCAACGTGTCCGTGTCCTGCGTGTTATAACTTGTCACGCAATCTATCGTGGCTAATAAGATTAAGGAGAGCCGGCTTCCAGGGTTACATTGTGAGGAGTTAGGCTTTACCGACCCGGGAATGACCTCGACAATTGGCGGATGACATGGTCGTCTGTCTTTCAACAAACCAACTACGGATTTGAGACTCTGGATAGACTTTAATTCGAACTTGATATAAATTTACCGGTCGCAACAGTATCTAACATTCCTCCTCCTTATACATCTATCGAAGCCGTCGCGATCAGTGATGGAATGCTTCGTTCGGAGTAACCTACGGAGGGGGAAGCAGAATTGGTAAGGTATGATACTGTATGGTATTGACTAGCAAACTTTGACAGACTCATGGTTTCCTCGGACCATGTGGAGCTGCCACCTCCACTTTCCTGCACGTGGTAGGCTGGTTTTTCCGGCCCCTGCCAGAACAGCCAATGAGAGTGTATGGCACGGAAATTAGGCCTGAGAAGGAACCGTCGCCGGGGTTAGTGTCTCTGGAAGCGCGTAGCTAGCTCCCTGACTGGCTACATCTTCGAGACTGTGCCAGAACTAGTCAGCCCGACAACACGGCCGGCCGAGACCCGAGCATCTGTTTGGCCAGAACGTCCGGGGTTGGCCGCGCCACAAATCCATTACCAATGAGAAATCCCTGCATAGAGGTCTAAGCAAGATACTTGACCCAGGATGGTTTAGTTTCTGCGAGCACAGGCCGGATTTTGGTGGTCAGCTCGAACATTCGATCCGGGGTTGTGCCTGTGAATGTCTGTACGGTACCATGTCCATGCGCCACTCTACCACTCTGTGGTTTCCCATTCCAGAGTTGTACAGCGTCGCAGTCCGAGGTCCCTCATTTTACTCAGGTTACCAGATCCTGCGATCTCAGACAGACTGCCAGCTGCAATGATTGGTCCATCATCCGTTCTGACTCGCGTTTCGCGCACTTTTAGTGCATCCCAATCCAGTATGGCGGTCTTTTTTGTTTTCTCCATGTCTCCAGCTTTGTCCCCAATTCCCCAGATGAGACAAGACTAAGCGATCCAGAGTGTGATGGCAACTAGAACCGCATTGAAAAAAAAAAAAAAAAGGGCGCTAGAGCCGATGGCAACCTGCATCCCCCGTGGTCAATTCCCCGGACCGGCATGGGGCCGACTGATTGAGGGAAAGAGAAAAGTGAGAGAAAGAGCAAGTGCGGCATCTCCAGGTTTCTCCTCTTCCAGGTCCAGGTCTATAAAACCTGCTGTTCTTCCCCCCCAGGTTGTCCGACCTTCTTGTCACGTAGATCTTCTCCCTTTTCTCTTCTTCCCTCCATCCTTCTCCTTTTGAGCCTCGTGGTGATCAACATCCCTATCCATTCTCATATCTAACCTTCCCTTTCTTTACTCTCCGGGTTGATCACTGCCATCGATCGCCATGGCGGACGTTGTCGTCGATACCTCGCGCGTCGAGGCGCCTGTGACATGGAAGACCTACCTGATGTGTGCCTTCGCGGCCTTCGGTGGTATCTTCTTCGGTTATGACTCTGGTTACATTTCCGGTGTTATGGCCATGGATTATTTCATTACTGAGTTCGAGGGTCTCGTTAGTAACCCCCGCTCCGCAAAGGTATAGCAAAGGACTTCGTTACTAACAGCTGAATCTCCCGTCCTACAGGACAAGGCCACCACTCCGACCGATCTTTTCGTCATTCCTTCCTGGAAGAAGTCTCTGATCACTTCCATTCTGTCTGCTGGTACTTTCTTCGGTGCTCTGATCGCTGGTGACTTGTCCGATTGGTTTGGTCGTCGTACTACCATTGTCGCTGG